TTGGTGTCTTTACTCACAAAGGAAGAAGAAAAACTAGAATACGAATCATTATGACTCCGACTGTGGTGACGACATTCACTCATTTTTTCCGTGTCCTTTAGCTGCTAGAACGTTATGATCCTAAGATCAAACAAGTTGGTAGAAACCGAGTGATTTAAATGGTTACTATTGGCACACACCAGTGTGAACNAGTGTGAACACCCTTAGTTCTCAGTCCCTCTTTTACCGTCAATCCAGATGGTGCGATGAACAGCTCCTAGTAACACTCCGAAGAATGCACTTAGCTTAGTATGCAGGTCATCATATCAAGTTTCAGATCACAGTTTATGTGCTGCTATGATCATAACTGATAAGCTCATAGATCATATCATTTTGTTTTTAAAATGTTCATGAGACAGATCTACTTTGTAATTATTCAATAATTTAATACTGTCGGATCTATTTATTATCTATATACAAATGAGTATTGAACTATTTTATCAATACGCGCAAATATACAATCAGTAGTAGATTTACATGGATGCCATATTCACACAAAAATACAGGCACAATGAATTTCATCTTTGAGAGTCATACCACATACCATGTTATTGAGCCAGGCATTGAAAAATCAAGAAAGTTTGGTGCCGGCGACGGGTTCGGACCCTGTGTGGTAAACCCTGGGACACGATAATAGCAGCACTTATCACTGTTGTCGCCTTTTGCATTTGTTAAGTTCTGCCGTCTAACTGCAAGTAAATTGTATTTTCACAGCCCGAATACTTTCAAGTGCAAAAACTTAAAAACTTGTTGAATGATTCACTCCCTTGGTGAAATGCTACAACAATTGGCGTTTGTGGCTCACTCAAATGCATTCAAAAGATTTCGATCTGCGGATCACCATCTTACTTTTAAGTATTCAGATGATTGTGATTTTTCTCTTTTATCGAATACCAGTTATCTATTTCCATAGATTTTTTTACTAGATTGATCTTTTAAGACACGCGTCAGCTCTTGTCCCAGTATCCATTTGTGCGTACAGGCCAGGGACACCAGGCACTCGTCGACGGCTTACATTCTTCTGCACTGATTTCAGTTCGCTCTTTCGCGTTTCACTCCGGTTTTAATGAAACAGTGAACTTTGTTCTTGTGACCCCTGGAAATTTTGTCCTACCGGAGATTTTTGTCTCCAAGTCATCCGATGAATGTGGTAGGATTACTGGTGATGAAGAGCACTGTCTGCTTCAGAAAACCGTAAAACCTGTGTTGAATTCTCTGAACGCACTCTCAACTGCAACCACTTCCTGCACACACATCCATATACAGATACAGCGTCAGTCCTTACAGACCTTACGTGCTTCTTAGCTAATCATACAACAGTTATCATTTGCCTCAAAGAAAGCCTCTTGCGTTAGAAACTTTTCGGCACTGCATTATTGAAGTTGTTTCTGTTTTTATATCGATATGTATTCACTTTACAAATTTGTCAACTCTTACTAGCTCACCTGATGGTTCATTGACCCGTTAGACGACTTATATATATATATCACTGATACAATAAATTGATAACTTTGCCTGCGGTGGATTGGAATAGTTAAATATGAACAGGGATCCGTGTTCTGCTTTCCTTACTCATGCTTCTGATTGAATATACCCATCTTAAATTGATATTGTGACATCGTAAATTGATATTCGGACATCTTAAATTGAAAAAAGGTATAGATTCAGAACTGAACTCCAATCGAGTTTTCCTCTTTCCTGTTTTTTTCCTGTCACACCTCGTGCTGCAAATTATCAATCATTTTCTTTCATTGGGCTTCTCATATGCACAACTTGTATTGTTCTGGTGGGATTAGCGATTGGATAGCGGTGGAATTCGCCAATACATGAGCACGGAGGACGGAATTTCGTTGTACAATTAGTCTCGCTTCCTTCACTAATCACGCAGTGCACACGCTATTGTTATAACAGACCGTATTGAAAATACGCAGTATGCTCCTACTACCAGAAATACGCACTCTGCGAACGCGCAGCAGGTGACCGAAAACAGCTACTTACGTAGATGAGTGTTTCTTCCGTGAACCACGCGATGTGTACGTGCATCTGGGTGCACCTCACATGTGATTTGTTCTTCACAATCCATGTGCGAATAAAACACCCAAGGGTCGAGACACATTGTCACCGGGGTTCCGGTTGTTATGATGTGACCATTCTTTATTATTGACAAAGTATTGAAAATCAATTCTCGTATTTCGAGTGAAGTTAACTCTATTTCGCCTGTTCGCCGAGCTTGTCAATTTGTTTGCAAACGTTTCATCACTAACCGGGACAACGGTCTAGCGCAAAGCAACGCATACGG